TCCAGAAAATAACAAGTAAATTCACCAGGAGCACAAAATAAAAACTACTCTGTGAGTACAGCATTCTATCTGCTAGGAATCCCTGCTATCTTACAAAGCACTTCTCTACCTGAGGGTACAAGGGCTGTTAATTCTCAAATAAAGACACCGAGGCCTGCCCGGACACTAGAGTCACTTGTACCAATAAAGAAAAGCTAGAATATTTCTACTATCACACCCAAATACTATACATGGTAATTCTATAAAATCACAGTACTCAATTAACTAATTAAGATTTTGGGGGCACCTGGGTAGCACAGTCAGTTAAGCGTTCAACTCCTGATTCTGGTTCAGGTCATGGTCTTATGGTTTGTGGGCTCCAGTCCCACATCAGGCTCTGTGATGGCAGCACAGGGCCTGCTTAGGATTCTCTCTCTCTCATTCTCACTCTCTCTCTCTGCCCCTCCCCTCCATGTCAGTCTCTCTGTCTCTCTCTAAATAAACATTAAAAAAAAAGACTTTTGTTTTCACAATTATTAAACTTTACAGGATCATAAAAGAAGTTCTTCAAGTTGGAAACATGTAAAACTAGGGAAAGATCACTGTAACTTTTACAAATAGTTCCATTTTAAACATTTTTTTTTTCAACGTTTATTTATTTTCGGGACAGAGAGAGACAGAGCATGAACGGGGGAGGGGCAGAGTGAGAGGGAGACACAGAATCGGAAACAGGCTCCAGGCTCCGAGCCATCAGCCCAGAGCCCGATGCGGGGCTTGGACCCACGGACCGCGAGATCATGACCTGGCTGAAGTCGGACGCTTAACCGACTGCGCCACCCAGGCGCCCCCCCCCTTTTTTTTTAAACATTTTTTTTAATAGTTCCATTTTAAACCTTATCTCAAAATTCAGAAAGCACAGAGAAAGTAGTGCAGCTCAGACAAGTGGTACAGTTCTCACTTCCAATATCCCACTTACGAGGATGCAAACCCCCTACTTACAGCAAATGACATAAAACATACAGCCCATGCTCATGTGTTCATGTCAGAAGATGCTAGGACAGCTTGACCTTTGGGTCTATAAGAATATGTTCCTCTAGAGGCAAAACTTACAATAAATGTGCTTTCATTAACAAGTTAAAATTTTAAATTACTGTTGGGGCACCTGGGTGGCTTAGGTGGTTAAGCATCCGACTTCGGCTCAGGTCACAATCTCCCGGTTTGTGACTTCGAGGCCCACCTTGGGGCTCTCTGCTGTCAGCATGGAGCTTGCCTCAGATCCTCTGTCTCCCTCTCTCGCTGGCCCTCCCCCTCCTTCCCTTCCTCTCTCTCCCTCTCTCAAAAATAAACATATAAAAAATAAAAAATTAAGTAAAAATTTAAAAAGTATCTAAAACCACAGTCGTACCACATTTAAGGGTACCTAGACACCTAGACACATTCTTTTCTGATATGAGCCTCTGGGGATAATTAAGTCACAGTGTGATTAGGCTGTGACAGAGGCAAACGGGAATACTTATGGACAATGGAGAAAAGAATGTGTGACCCTCTCCTCCACAGGTTTTCCTGTTTGCCTCTGTTAGAGGCATGGGTTTGAGCCCCATGCCTCTGATAGTGTCTGAAGAAGAACTTGAATAAAAGTGGGTGTTCAAAAACCCAACAAGGAAGGCACAGTCACGCTGACAGATGGACAGTAATGGAATACAGAGAATGAATACAGTAATGAACCAGAGAAGTGGGAGAGCCCAGCCTGGTCAGGGTAAGTGGATAGCATCTGGGGAATAGGAATGAGGGCGTGAGCTGTTAACTGATGGGCAACACCGAGCCTGGACTTTTGAGCACCAAGACCAGAGTCAAAGGCACCAGCCAGAGAGATGCTATAATGTCTTTAAAAGCCTACATTGACTCAACTAGAGAGGTCCCAGTGAGAAGAATATTAAGTAATGTGCCAAATATTTTCATAGATGCTGCACTTTAAAAAGTATTATCAAATGAATGTACAATTGTCTTCATTTACAGGTGAAAAATGTTATTGTTTGCTGATTCACACAACTATCATTAGCAAGGTAGGTCTCAAGGTGGTCTGTCTGATACCACATCTTGTGAAATAACACAGAGGAAAGCATCTGTGAGGGAAGAAAATACTGCGTCTTGTACTGTTATTTAATCCCAATGCCTAGCATTCTGCCTGTCATTTAGGAGATGTATCTTAGCTGGATGGTGTGAATTAACATCTACAGAGTCAACAGAAAGCAGATTATAAGGAGCAGTCAACGGCTTCTCAAAATATATACCGAGTGAAATTCAAGTAAAAAGCAGAAAACTGTAAAAATGGTTAGCACTTTGGGACCTTTGACAGAAGCTTTTAGTGGAGGGAGTGGGACTACTGGGTGTAAGGGTTAAGGAGTGTGTGTGACAAAGTAAAAAAACAATAAGTTTTCAGCTGATTAATATTGTGGAGAGCTAAAATTACTTCCTTTGTAAAACTGTAACAAATCTGACCACTATACTTGGAAAGGAAGTATTGCCTTCGTTTGAGAACAGTTAGAGAGGCACCAAATACTGTACTGTGGTTCTGGATGCTCCTAGAGGAAGCATTGTCAATAAGTGCAATTAGTGTTTTTTTTTAAGATCTCCAGAGACCATCCTTATCACCCAGAAAGGGCGCAGTGCTCCAGTAACACAGGAAAACAAAGCAGCAAGTGTGTCATATGTGGACAAATATCAGCAGGGGAGGGTGACCTGCCAGCTGCACTCACTTCTGTGAGCTGCAGATGCCCATAATTATCTTTTAATTATTTGGGTTCCATCAAATTTACATCTAAGTAATGTCCCCTCGGGGCACCTAGGTGAAGCTCGGTGGGTGGGCCGGCCGACTTTGGCTCAGGTCATGTTGATCTTGCTGGTCCGTGAGTTCAGGCCCAGCGTCGGGCTCTGTGCTGACAGCTCAGGGCACAAGGTCTGTTTTCAAATTCTGTGTCTCCCTCTCTCTGACCCTCCCCATTTGTGCTCTGTCTCTCTGTCTCAAAATAAATAAGCAGATTAAAAAAATTTTTTAATTTTTAAGTAATGTCCCTCAAGCACAACTATATCTCAGTCCAAACCGTGAAGTTTAATATTTTAATAATCATCCTCTTAATTATTTTTCAGCTTCCTTCCTCCACTACCAACTGACACATAATATTGTATAGCTTTAAAGGTGTACAAAGTGTTCCTTTTGATACATATTTATATATTTGCAAATGATTACCCTCATAGTCAGCTATACTTTTCATTACTTCCACATAGTACTTTTTTTTTTTGTTTTGTTTCTGGTGGTGAGAACATTTAGAATCTACTCTCTGAACATGCAAGCACTATGGCTCTTTATCATTGTTAGCTCAATGCTCCTAAGCTGTGCAATAGATCCCAGAGCGTATTCATCTTCTAACTGGAGTTTGGCCACCCTTTGACTAACATCTCCCAATCCCCACCTCCCAGACCCTGGGAATGGCCATTCTATGAATTTGGCAGTTTTTTAGATTCCACATAGAAGCAGCATATGGTATTTGTCCAGAAACAACATCTGGGAAGACCCTAAGGTTTTGTGAGGCTAGTTTGAAACCAGATGACACTTTGTAAAATATTATTCCCTGGTGTCTTGCCAATCTATAAAGAAGCTGACTGAAGTTGGTCTGGCCTCCCAGGAGACTTACAGTATCACCATATGCATATGTCTAAATAATAACAAGGAAAGGCTCAAAAAGAAATACCACTGGAAGCGGGAAGGTATTATGCTGAGGAAATAAATCAGTCAGAGACTGACAGATATGCATTATGTGGATCTTGAGAGGTGAACAGAAGAGTCGCGCAGAGAAGGAAGGGAAAAAAATAGATACAAGCAGAGGGAGGGAGGCAAACCACAGAACTATTAAATACAGAAAAGAACAAACTAAGAGTGAGATGGGGCGCAGGGAGGGAAATGGGTGACGGGCATTGGGGTACTTGTTGCTTGGGAGGAATTGCTGGTGCTGTGATGAAGTTGACAATGAATTATATTCATGAAAAAAAAAAAAGAAATACCATTGCCTGGATACAATTTTTTTTTAAATTTTTTTTTTCATGATTTGGCCCCTTTTTTTTGGGACGAAAAGAGGCAGAGGCATGAGCGGAGGGAGGGGGCAGAGAGAGAGGGGAGACACAGGGCTCAGGCTCTGGGCTCCAGGCTCCAGACCATCAAGCCAGGAGCCTAGCCCAGCGGGGCTTTCAGAACTCCGCCGGACAGTGAGATAAATGACCTAGCTGAAGTCAGGGCCAACAGCCAGGCCTCTTGCATCACTCAAACCCCTGAATACAATTTTAAAGAAAACTGTTTCAATCTAGTCTATCAATACAGTTTCATTTGAATCTCTGTTGAAATTTGATATAAAACCTCTGTAGTTTCAGGATATTCTAAAGTTAAGTAAGTAACAGTATAGGTATAGTGAAAAGATCATATCAGTCTTGGCCTTAATCTTGAAGAGTTAAACAATGAGTTTCTACTATTTTAGAAGCAAATCATTTTAGTTTACCATTTGTAGCATCTGCCCCTCTCCAAAAAAAAAGGAACACAACTATCTATCACTTATATTTACTTTAAATATAAGTGAACCATTAATTTGTTTCAAATTTTATGATACACTTAAAGAAAACAAACATACATACAGTCAATTCTTAAAAAAAAAAATGAGCTTTTAACTGCCTTTGAGCTAACAAAGGAATTTGCCGCAACAGAGACTCTAATATATTTAGATTAATTGCTGAATACCCCAAAAGTGGGGTATTATCAAAGCATATTAAGTGCTTCAGGGACATTTGTGATGGTTAAAGTTTAAGTTTTAAATTGGAGAATATGCCTAAGATATACTTTTAAAACCATGCATGGGATATAAATTTTAATAGTGAGAAATATGGCATAATAGGGTGAAGCCAGACTCTCTGGGCCCATTTACGAGTCTGGGACCATATTTTTCACCAAACTACATCTAAAAAAAGCAAAACGTCTATGGAAATGATGAGAAATAAGAGATAACTGGGTGTCAAATGTTGTATGATTGGAAATTTTTAATATGTAATTTAAGAGATTAATCACAAGTTCCAAAAAAAAAAGAGCATCATTAAGAATTACCTCCCAATATTATCAGTTGTTTCTCTTCCCTTTCAAACAGCAAAAACTATCTGTGTGCCTTTCTTGCATAAAATACCAGATATCCTTGTATTATGTTGTCTGGATTCCTCTAGTGACTGTAAAAAACAGATTTGGTAGGACAATTCATGAAAACTACAACCTCTAAAAACAGTGTGATCTCTGAATGAGAAGAAAAAAACCAATGGAGGAAAATATAAACCCCAAAATGGAGAATTTCCCCCTGAGCTGTAGAAAATCCTGGATCTTTAGATGGAAGAAGGCCTGAAAGTTCCAGCCAGATTAATAAAGGGCAT